AGAAATGTTTCCTCTATGGAAGCAGAAGCTGGAAGTTCACAATTAACATATTTCTGAAGATACATTTCATTAGAGATTTTCTTCTATTGTTAATAAATTAATTAGCATCCTGTATTATTATTATTATTATTATTATTATTATTATTATTATTATTATTATTATTATTATAGTATATTAAAATACATGAAGTTCACAGAAAATGCGACTGGCACCATTTTCACAGTTTTTTTATACATACAAATAGAAAATTTAAAGAAACAAATTAGAGCCGTTTTTCAGAAAATAACTGTTTAGAAATTGCCTTGATATCACGCGAAGTTATGCGATAATTTATCGCAAAGTAATGCGATGTTATGATGTCCAGGTACTTTTATATGTGGTCATTTTTTTCTTATTTTTAAAAGGGAACTGGAATAGATGTCCTGTGTGCTGTTTTTCACCACTTTGTTACTGTGGCCAGTAGTACTTTTACTGTGGACAATAGTTATATAGTTTTTGTTAGTAACAAATATTCTAAGTCAATATCTCTTCAATAATATGTGCTATAGCTGGAAATATGAAACATTTCGGTCTGTTACATTCATTTTCTTGTGAAAAATAAAACCTCAATGTCTTACATGTTCTATTTAGATAATTACCTTAAATAACAAAAAAAAATCGGTAGTAATTTCGAATCCACTTTTATTCAAAATTCGGTACTAATTTAGAATGCAAAATTACATAAAGTAATGACCAAACATTACACATACCTAGTTAATATTCTTGAATACTGAAATGCTACGAGTCAATATGAAGGGAAGTGTTGAAACCAAAATACATGTATTCGAAGTATGTAATTCGTTGTAAATGCTGCATAAGCATGAAGTTAGTTATTTATATACAATGGGTTTAAAGGAGAGCTTTATTCACGAGGGAGAACAGTTGTGTCCCGAGCACTGCCGATTATACAAAAAATTTATTTTTAAACAATATTTCTTCGCGTGTATACCAATGTCATGAAGGAAGAAGTACAAAGACGGCGATCGTCCTTCTGGGGGTCACCTTTAGGTGGCTGTTATTTCGGTTTGCATTCTGCATGGAAGAATGGAGGAATATTTTAATCAGATAAATTATACATAATTATTAGATTATTAGATTTAAGATTCTGAAGATCAATATCTAGAAATCCTAATGATATCATGAAAGAAGCAGATGATGTGATGTTTCAAAACTATTCTCTGGGAAAATCGAGGCACATATATGAAAAAGAGTAAATTTTTTTGGCAAATGGAGAAATGACGGAAAGTATGAAAAAGTTTCAGAAGAAATTGTTCAGTGTATTTTCACAATAAATCAAAAACTTACAAGTCTTCATCGTTTTTGAAAGTATTCAATGGTGAGGACAAAGTTTACGTGTCAAGGAAATGTTGATTTACTAAGTACCGTACGTATATTTCCAGAACAAAATTTGACGATGCGTGTTTAATGCTTTTAATTGATATAGATGTTGTAGATATGTAAATTGTTTGGATTTTTGAAGGGACGATAATAAAGGCTACTAACCAAAGAAACTATGGTTTCTACAAAGCTTGAACTTTACAGATTTGTTAAAGAAGCTGTGACATTCATTATCTAAAGTTGAAAGTTAGTTTTTAACTTACGTATACTATTCTTTTTTGACTTATAGTATATCCAAACTCTCTTTCTTTTTTCAGACTGTAATGATAGTGGGAGTCATTGGAAGGTGTGGTTTCTTTAATCATTGAGGATTACTTTAATCCCGTTTTGGTTTAATTTATCCTAGAGGATTAACGTTCTACTTTAATTCAGGAGAATAAAAGACATTTTAACATGGGAAAAGTGTGATAAAGTGAACTTTAATGACGTTAAAAGTACATTATATTACATTTAAATTACGTTCTTTAGTGGTGAAGAAGAAAAATAAGTTAACATGTCACAAACCACCGTAAATGTGGATGGGAAGAAGTCGCGGAAAAATAGCAGAAGCACAGCTACCTCTGTATAAAACTACTTTCAACTGTTCTGAATACTCAGAACCTGAATACTGAGAGCGAGCGAAAGTAGAATAATTGGAAGAATGCGAAGGTAGTGGAAATTAAGACCTTGGTGACCTCCGTATGAGCTACATGAGGTCAGCGCTGTAAAATTAATTTCTATATTATCCTATTTATCTGATTAAACCTAGTGCAGAGACGATTTTGGTCAGTAGTTCAGTTGAAACTGTTGCAAGGCGAACACACATATTCTTAAAAGTTCAGACGACTGGCGCTGGACTGCCTTGTCTCATACGATGACTCTACCCTTCATTGGTGTCTCAGATAATATCGTCTGGCTATTGGAAGAAAATTAACTTATTACATTTATCTACGCTAGTTGTTTAGAACATCTCTCCACGTTTGTAGTAATCATTGCACACCGGGATAGAGGTGTGTGGAAAAAAGTTAATGTACATTATATGAAAGGACCTTTTTCATTTGCATGTTGGCGGTACATTTTTAGAATAACACTGCAACAGAAGAAGACGTCTGCTCGAAGGGCGCTCTAGGTCATAATGCTTATGAATCTGGAGAACGGTTTAGACTATTAACTCTCAAGTTTCTGTAAATTGCACCCACACCAAATTATCTAATTAAAGAAATGTTTCCTCTATGGAAGCAGAAGCTGGAAGTTCACAATTAACATATTTCTGAAGATACATTTCATTAGAGATTTTCTTCTATTGTTAATAAATTAATTAGCATCCTGTATTATTTAATTATTATTATTATTATTATTATTATTATTATTATTATTATTAATAATAACAATATCAAATGATCATATTTCGTTATAATTACCAGTTACACAGCCTACAAACCTTATATTTATTTAAATTTAATACATGA